ATCATCATCATCATCATCATCATCATCATCATCATCATCATCATCATCATCATCATCATCATCATCCTCGTCGTCATCATCATCATCATCATCATCGTTTGTTACTGGTGATAGGATATATCCAAGATGCACTAAGCATTGCCCAATCGATTTTTGAGGGACAATTCATGACACCTGACTATTTCTACCTTGTCGGAGGTAGGATTCCGGCAGCCCTGCTATGCCCTTTCATGGTCGCCAAAGCACATATTTTCCACATTTGGACCACAAACCTAGGGCCAACAAGAGCACATAAGAGCACATAGTAACCCCAAAAGCTTGACGAACAACCTCAGCGACAAATGGTTGTGTATTCAACAAGGCAGACCCCTACCCACCAGTGTTGGTTTGTCTTTACTCTTCCCAGAGAGTCTTTCGGAGTATCTCTATTTATCTACCAATCACAATGACGTACTAAACATAAGGATATATTCTGACCCTGGAAATCCTGGAAGTGCCCTGGAAGCCCAATCCCTTCCCCAGATCTCGCGCTGAAGCTCAAGCAGCCGTCCACAGGCTGATTTGATTTCCACAGACTGAAGACCGACATTTGAAGACCTCCCAAAGACATCTGGAAAACCTTCCCATTTGGCCATACAGATCCTGAAAAACATAGGAAGTGACTGTTTCGGGACACATCCACTTCTTTCTGGTAGGGACTGGGTTTCCAGGTGGTTCTATATAGATGTTGATCGGGTTCAGGCTTTGACTGACCAACGATGGTCCACTTGAAGGTATGGATGTGGCCCCGGTTCGTGGCCATTCCCACACATTCCTACCCTGGTGGGACAGCCACGTACTGCACCAGGGCCGGGATTCTTTTCCCTCCCCGAAAAGAGGACATAATGTGGCATCATCAATTATACATTTCCCAGCACACACTTCATGTTTGGCGTGTCTCACCTAGGCCGGCAAGCATCTTAGTCATTGATGTACCTCTACACCTACACCTACACTCCCTGGAACGTAACATGGAATTGGAACATGGCCTCATGGAAGACCATGTTCCTCTACAAACAGAGGGTGCCATCCACTTCTGACTTCCAGGGAGAGGTCCGGATGAGTTCCGTGGCTCCGGGTCGGGGTCGGGTTCCATCGTCCTTTTTCATCCAAGTCCATGCACGTGGAGACCGACCGCGTGGGCACCTGTGGGAAACGCGGGAATCCTCCAGGGCTAAAACGCGTCGGCGTTTTCCCCAAGAAGCCATCTCTATATGTACTTTTTGTGGGTGTTGCTTTTTTCTTTTGTGATGGTCGGTGAAGTTTGCACCATCTACTGAAAGAAGGCTAAGAGTTGTCGCCATGCTCAGAGAATATCAGATATATTCAGATATATTGTTTGTCCAGGTTGGGGGAGGGGGAAGAGAGGAGATTCAAAAAGAATTATTTATAATGATCAGAATGAAGCATGCCAGTCGTGTCAACACCCCGTTCAGGCAAAGGCTTGCCGGATGTTATGCACTCGGGTTGGATGTGTTTTGCAAGCTTGGTTGACTTGTCAATATCCTTGACTCACTTGGGATTTCTATCATGCAACCCAAAGCCTTGAAAAGAGTCATATGCAGTGCCGACACTGACAGTGGCTTGGCTTTGTTTGTTTGGTCCTTGAGAGGAGCTTTGGGCAGACCCTCTCGATCAGGTGCGTTGGTACTGTATTTGCTTTTCGCTGCTTCACCAAAAACTGGTCATGGCGAGTCATGGAGGACAAGAAGCATGCCGGAATTCTTATAGTCAACCAGTGATCGGCGTGGTCAAGTTGCAGGATGTTCCAGATTCGGATGGTTCTTGTTGATTTCATTTGTTCCAATTTGCTTCCAAGTTTAGGACTCTGACCCCGTTAAGTTACCAAAAGCTCGCCCTGGCATGAGAGCCAAGGCTGGATCCCACGTGGGTCGCCCCAGCGAATCCGCCGATGCTTCACACGTTCCATCGGCGGATGGTCCTGAGATCGATCACATGTGGAGGAGCTTTTGCCTGGACTTCCTGAGCATTGCCCTGTAGTACGGAAGCCGCATCCATGGTTCGAATTTGATGTGTCCCTTACCACATCCAGGTTACGGACATTTGCCGACATGTATATGAAGCAAGTCCTAGAATCCAGAATCCTATATGTGCCTACACTGTGTAATCATCATTCCCTTTATGGACGGGTATGCAGGGGTTGTTGCTGCAAAGCTAAGCTGAATTCCGCGTGTCTCAACTGAATTACTGGGGCTATTCAAGATGTGCCCACGTGTTTTGTGCATATACATGGTTGATGTCTTCTACGGCACACCTCGGCTTTAAGAGGGTGACAAAGGCTCTAAGGGACTAATCAGTGCCCCCATCATCACACCTTGAGCCACTGGAGACAGGAGACAACTGTCCAAAGAGACACTTTCAGGTCAACAAGTGTGGAGAAGGGTGTCCATGATGTCCCTAGACTGGTGAAAAAAGACTGTGTGGTAACTATAAAAAGTGTGGGCAACGTGTAAGATAGGTGTTCTCCGAGTTCTTTTTATCACGTTCACTTCTCCAACATTATCTTTGTGTGGCGTTCCTTCAAAACACCGAACCCCCCTGGAGAACCTCAAGACAGTCCCAGGCCGATGCCATCCCGAGGCTGGCGCTTCTCTTCGCTTTTTGTGTGATGCAATTTCAGTTTCTTCAGTTTTGTTCCACATTAAGGTTCAAGACCTCCTACTTGGGCCCACAAACCTGAGGGATCTGCATCACACTGCTTGCTGGTTACACAGCACAGGTATCATGGGAGTTCTGGGATATAACATCGCTGGGTTTGGTCCGGACCGGCATGGTGGGCAGCAGCCCATGGGTGATGTTCTGGAGGGGACGGGAGTGACAACTCACAAATCCAAGGGGGGTTAAAGGGTGCCAGTTCCCTCGTCCAGGGATGGGAAATGGACGATCCGTGATGTCCGAAGTGCGACCGCGCCCACGAAAATCCATTCCGCAAGCACTCATTGGACTGCAATAGTTGCAAATAGTTTACCCCGTAGATGACCCTGTGTATTACACTGTGTATGTACTGTAACATTATGTAAGTCTTCCATGCATGGATGGTCTGGGAATAGTTTGAAATCATGTTCACAATCAAACTGTTGATGGGAAAGGAATATATCCCTCCCGCCTCCCCTTTGCTTCGGCCTCGACCAGTGCTGTGGGCGCTTGGGCAGCTGGCAGAAACTGAGCTGCTCGACTGGAGAAAGGCTGAGAGAAGAGAAGCAAGGGTGCAGCTACGCTGATTTGGAGGAGGGTACACAAGTATATGGGGTACAGCTACGCTTATATTTGTATATAATTA